GCCTTCCACCATCTGACGTAGTTAAAAGTGAATGGAACGGTCAAAACTTGTTGTTTGCTATTCTTGTAACGAGATACAAGATCGGCGCTCCATTATGTGTATTGTAAAACGTTTTGCTAGATAAACTCTAAGAGCGCGCTAATAATTAACATCGTGATGCATTTTTCACATCAGACTAAATTTTTGTATATTATATAGAGATGGCCATCGCTTACTGTTTGTACTTTTAGAAACAACAACTTGTTGTCAAAGGAAAAATCGAATATACAAAAAACCAATTTAGGCTCACGGGGCGCTACCGAGTCTGTGACAGAGGCGTCTTCTAGTTTCTTTCTAAAAGTGAACTTCTGGATAAAAAAGGAGGAAGAATAAGAGGTTTGAATAGTGCGCTTCCATTCGGTATTAATACTATTGATTTGGCAATCAAAGCCGCGGATAAAATTTATAAAATCAGATAAGCTTGGTGAACATAACACATCAAACTAAAACATAGTCAAGTGAAAATGACGGTCGCGTTTTGTATGCGTTGCAGAAGACTGCAACCAATTATAAATGGTATAATTGTAAATCATATCGGCAACCCCAGACTTGCAGGGTGCTGGGTTGTATGTGGTAGTGCTGTTTCTAGGTTTCTTTCCCAATGAATCTCGTCGTAATGGAGGAAAAACCATCGTTTCTACGGACGGAAGCGTTGAAGAACGCCTCGCAGAGGCGTACTACAGTCATGCGGGGTACTGGCGCGGCATTGCTGCTATCCCAAAGCTGGCAAAAGAAGCTGGCGTTGGCGAAGATGAGGCTCATGCGTTCATCTCATCATCAGTAGGCTCGACGGGCCTGCGCTTGCGCGGTTTTGGGATAGGCATGCGCTTTCACGGTTTTGGGATAGGCGGAGTGACATTTTTTGGTGTGGGTGTCGGGTCAGCGGGCGGTTGAAGAGCCTTAAGAGAGGCGTTCAGCGCGTGTCCGCTGATTACACCTTGGTCATATAGTTGCAGAAGTTTCTCGACAGTATTCATCTCAAGTGTCCCAAATTTTAGTAATATATCTTACGCGAGATAATTCTCTAAATCGAAATTAATTCGGCGAGTACTCTAGCAAATCTCTTTCTTGCTTGTTTCTGCTTATAAACGAGCTTATCGGCACCGCAGGCTTGACAAAGGATAGTTTCTGCCTGTGTTCCGACGCCACACTTCCGACCCCGCTCTCCCTTAATCGCTTCATAGGAAGTCCACAGTATTCAACTATGGAGCTTCACCCACGAGTGGTGAGCTTTCCGGGTAGAAGCCACGCACACTTGTTCTTGCCCTGCCTCACGGCTGTCGAACGTTTGGATTACTCTATGAGAGTATATCTCTCTAAATAATAGACCCCGACGGCCGGTCGCGCAGGCGTGGGGTGGTGGGCCGGACGTTGTCCTGGGTTTGACCTTCGCTGTAATTATGCTAGCATAATTACAAGAATTACGTAAGTGAGCTAGGGCTGGGGCGCTTAGATTTGTGTATACTCCTTCTCTAACTGTGAGGTGCGCTAGAAACGACGCTTTCTCAAGGTGTAGTGCGCCAGCGGCAACGCTCTGTATACTACTTTAACAGCAAAACTGGACTCCGAACAGCAATCGAGTTACGTTTTGTAGGATAATCGGATTACATTAGGCAAATCTAAACGGCGTAATAATACGATGATTCATAAAATCTGTCGCTTAAATGCAAATTTCGAGTACGTCAACAAGTGCATTTCATGTGTTTTTTCAGTGTTTTTGGTTAAAAAATAGACTAAATAAACTGAATAAACTAAGAAAATATATGTTTAATGTCTGAATTTTAAGATTTTTTGTCGAATTCAGACCGTTTCCTGTGCCACATTAAATACCCAATGGATTACGTCACAAGTCATTAGCATACTGATCAAAAAGTTCGCAAAAAAAATGCTGAAAATCGTGACTTTGAACGTCCGTAAAATCACTATCACTAATCCATTTTCAATTATAACTGCAGATTTAAAATCCCTGAAACAAGGTCTTTCAATTTAGCTAATAAAAAAAGTGGGGCTAAAATTCGTAATATAAACACTTTAAAAATAGACTCAATAAACTGAATAAACTAAGAAAATATATGTTTAATGTCTGAATTTCAAGATTTTTTGTCGAATTCTGACCGTTTCCTGTGCCACATTGGATACCACATGGATCCGCTCCTGTATAATACGTATTTACCGACTGGGAGGTCCGTATATGGAAAAAATATTTTCACAAGGTCTGCAACTTAATGTTGAGGCTAAAATTGGATGCTTTTCAGCAAAATTCGCTTTGTCTGGACAGTAAAATGGATTCTTGCAACGAAATCTTTCATCTGAAAACACCTTGCTTACTCGTTAAACAATTTACATCGCTTTCAAATCAATTTTATAAAATTTGCATTTCTTTTCGTAAACAGGTATATTGCAAAAAAATATCATTTGTGCTTAATGGCAGATATGCGTAAAAGCTACCCGCTCACGCAGCTAATCAAATTGCTGGAAATCAAAAAATATCGCTTTGGACAGCTAAATCAAAATAAATGTATATTATTTACCGGAGCCTTTAAGACCTTGTGAAAATATTTTTTCCGTGAAGACCGACCTAAACGGTAAATACCATATTTTTTTTATTTTTATTATAAAGAAATTTGCGTTGTAAAATAGCCGACACAGCTTGATATTGAAAAAAAATTGGATTTTTTCTTACAAATTTTACTTCTTCAGTACAGTAAAATACACTCTTGCTATGACAACTTTCATTTGAATACACTGTGCTTTATCGCTGAGCAATTTACATCGCTTTTAAATCAATTTTAAAAATTTAAATTTCACTTTATAACCAACTTATTGCTAAAAATATCACTTTTGGCTCATAATTTAGGTATCGTAAAAAAATGCACGCTGCTGCAGCCAATCAGATTTCAAGAAAACAAAAAATATCGCTTCTTTTGCATAAATGAAAAAACGAATTGAAATATTTTCGTGAAATTTGGTAAAAATAAGGCTCTTAATTTCATACATGAACATCGTAAGTTCACTTTTGTATAACCTTTTCCTATTTTTTGTCCGTATAATAACGTTCGGTATATGCCACACTACGACTTTGAAAAAAAATACAAAGAAAAATTTTTACGATGAACTTTAGAACTTCAACATGCTTCATTTGCCGATAAAATGTAGCCATCTACCTTAGATAGACTAGTTAAATTCTTCGTTAAAGTCTATAATTTGAAGGAATCTCTCTTATAGGTTTTGATAGTAAAACCTTTGTCATAGAGCATTTATAAATCTTACAATAGAAAATAATCGTCGAACAAAAATCCCATGTACGTTTTCTACAATCGTAATCGCCTGGGATATTATAGCATGGGTAACAAAGGCGACAAATAGAATACTTGTGATCGTTGGTATCAAATGCCTGTTTTTTAAAGGCTTACCCCTATCCACAAACACAGAATGAAGTTTCAAAATCCCCTCGCAAATTTTCATGGCGTAGCTATGATTTGAAATATTTTGGCAAAAAACAAGCCATTGTTGAATACATTAAATTGCCATTACTTTATAGGAGCGTGATTTCTGTGTTGCAATCATTGAGTATGAGTGTGATTGAAGTTTTAGAATACAGGCAAAATTCAGTAAATTAACTCAAAAATACTCATTCATCATATATCATAAACCATTTGTATCATATATCACCTTGTATACATCAAAAATGTTGAGACTACTATTACAAAAAAATTCTTAGAATCACTTGACCCACATTTTTTTTAAGTCAGGGTCAGGCAGACTTTATAAAGGTTTTGTAAATTCCACTGACGGGTAGCTAATGTAATCAAAACTAATATTACTATGGACAATATTGTTTCCGTTATATTGATTTCAAACTGATTGCCTACTCGATGGTACTCTATAAACTAAAAGATTTTTTATATTAAACGGAAATCTCAGGAAGGTAGTAGATCAGAGATGATCTCCCCCACAGATGATTTTTGTGAGAAATTTTAAAGTTATAACGAAATGTAACAACAACTAATTGTTCTTAAATTCAGGGGAAAATGCTGCAACAAGAGTAATTCAGTTGGAAATTCAATACTAAACCTACTATATCTCCAATCTAATTTCTTTTTATGTGCTTGCTGTTGTCATTGTTGATTGAGTGATAAACTTTATTTAAGAAAATTAATCTGCCTTTTCAGCAATAGTTTTATGAAAAGTGCCAATTGCACTTTTGCACTAAACATAATTTTTTGACCATATGTGTTAATTCAAATGACAGATGACATTTTAAGCCAACAACCTAAGAATATTATAAACAATGACGTGGCCTTTAGTTAAGAAATAAAAGTTGTTTAATGTATTTGCACAGGCTTATGCCATCCCAGAGGAGACCTTGGGAAGTTAGAGCTTGAGAGCTTATCGAGAATTTGAAAGTTCTCACAAAACGTCTCTAAGGTTTGCATAAGCCAGTGCAAACACGTAAACATCATTTATTTCTTTTATAAAGCAACAATAAAGTGAAACAGACAAATTGAAATCAGACGTTTTAACTTTACCCCTAAAATGTATTTATGATCGATTTGCAATTTGATTGATTTGATTGGTTGAAATTCATATCTGTTTTGCACAGACTATAGAAAACACAGCTATTGACCAATCAGAACCACATTTCACTGTCTTTACTTATAAATTGAATTCTAATTAAGTGAATGCCAACTTTATGTTGTTTCACATAAAATGATCATTTTAAACAAGCTTAAGTCAGTTCTAATGTAACATAAACCACTAATTGTTATCTATTTAGCTTTTAATTCACTTAATCAGCAGAGACTTTCGAGAAACGCCCTTCTTGAGTTAGCTAATAATTTGTGCATTTGAACACAAGACCTTGTCAAGCATTTCCCATATTTTAATAGTTCAAGCAGTTTTCAAAGAATTTTCACGTAAGCTTGCAACATAAGTTAAAAGATCTTGAAAGACCAACTTACTAATACATTTCTTTTTGGATTTGTCAAGTTTGTATCCAAAGGAGCATAGGCATTCGTAGGAGCCTGGGATATTTATGCATGAGTGATCTTTGCCACAAGGAGAAGACTGACATTCGCCGATATCTAATGTTTCACAATAAAGTTGTTTGAAAATATGTACCATAAATTAAGCAATTTTATGTCTAATTTAAAGATGTGTAATAAATAAATATGAAATTTTTTGTTTAATTTTTTACGTTTGAATATTTCTTAATTGATTTTACGAGAATGTAAAAACATAATTGTACTAAAATTTTAATAAATGTATTTGATATGAACAAATCAACATCTAAAACGACAAATAAATACTGTAACAAATGAGATCTGTGATTTTTGGGACTGTATGTATCAGTAATTTATTTGTAAATCCAACACAACTTTATAGATTTGTTTAGACAAATATTTTTGTAAATCATACAGACTACGTTCGATTTTTGACAACAAGAATGAGTATATTAAGAGAATACATTAATTAACAATCATTTACTGTACACGATAGAAGATTGCTCACCAAGGGCTACAAGCAGAACCACACATAAAGAAAGTTAAATCTGATAGTGGGATTGATAAGGTGGCATTTATGATATAAATCAAACCTAGTTCTTACATAGCTAATAGGACTATGAATTATGAAGTGTGACGTGTACCCACGACGGTTGCTATTTTGAAATATTTTCATCATTAATAAAAAAACGAAAAACAGCTTAGCCATTTAAAGCAATGAGATTAGCTTTGGAAAAATTCACACAACGGGGGCATATTAATTATCTCATCCTGTCATTGCAATTTCGCAAATTTTGAGTTTGTTAATTCAAGATGTTAGACTATCTTTGCAAAAGAAAATGCATCGAATAACAAAATTATATGAAATTAAAGCATATCATCTATACCAAACAAGCTCGACGGTTTACCCGCAATAAATCCTTTGAAAAAATTTTTTACAAGAAGTGGAAAAATCATATTTAATCCAAGCATGTCGTCATTCATATGCATATCTTGGTATGAAAAGCAGCGGTATTTGGAGACGTTGCATCTTGCCGTAAAATTTTAAAAAAATATGATTCAATCAAGCCTTATTAATTGTTCCATCAAGCACTGTTTATTTTGAAATTTATTGTTTTTTAAGTAAATAAACACAGAAAAACCAACAAAACAAGACTAAATACAAGCAGGTTGGCTACGACCAGGTCCGAAACTGGAACGTTGATTAGAGAGGGGGGGGGTGTGTGAAATATTCATATATGTGCGAATATTCATGTTTTGTGACCTAATGTGCTCAGCAGTAGGGCGTGACGGACAAAGAAATTATGTAAATAGCAATGGCTAAGAACGTATGGCATTTTCATTATTGCCTAAAAGCAGGTCTTTTAAATTAATATAAGTTTGGGGAAGCTTCATCTAAGGTTCCGTTTTTGACACATTTACTCGGTCAAAGACTATTACTAAACATAACTCTCAATTTTTTTTGATATTTAAGTGACCATTCCCTGCATACCAGTTCTTTATTGAATTGACATCTTTAAGTATGAACCAAGATATACTTGCAACTTTTCAGATTGGCCAAATTTGGTACCACATTAATTTTAGTTGAATATGTTAAACTATTTTTGGTGATAAGAGAATTGTTTGTCTTTACCCATTAATATTTCACCTTGGGCCATTGATTGAATTGCTCTTAGTTGCACAAAAAGTTCAGAATTCGCTTTTAGTGCTCAACAGTCTACTACATGGTCAAATGAGTTATCTAGTTCTAACATTTGTTTGGCAGGAAAACAATAACTAAAGAATGCAACCATTTTACTACAAAATAGTACATTTGTGTAAAGTACCTAATGTATTGATAATTATAGAAGCTACTCACAGCTTATATTTTGTCTCTCACGTTGACAGATGAAGTTAAAGTGACGCCCACATCTAACAAAATTCCAATTGTAAAATTTATATACAACGCATTTCTCTTTGCGAAATATTTGGCAACTAGGTCCTCCAGGATAACATAATGTAAAACTGGGCTTGCCATTTTGAGCTGTGTGGAACTGATTGTCGCTTTCGTTGCGATACAAACCAATAAAATGACGTTTATTGCCTTTTCTTAAGATGATTCTGTAAATGGCATTCTTCTCAGCATTATTGTTTGGAACAGCAAGATCTCCTCCCTTCTGTTGACAAAGCTGTCTTGCTTTTTTCCATGTTGCAGCTTTTGTACTGAAGAAATAACAAGATGATTCTATATACAACCAATCAGAAGGACAGCTTGCTAGACGAATGAAAAAAAAATTAAGACAACAATAACAAGTAATTATTTTCAGAATGATTTGTTCGAATAGAATAGAATATTTAATATGCACTTTTAAACTGTAAAAGTTGATTAAAAATGCTTAAACAGGCAGGATTGTGTTTTGCAGACAGATGTTGTTTAGAACAAGTCTTTCAATATCTAAAGGGTTTTTAAGAATGAGGAGGGTCTTTGAGCTGGTTTTGTAGAGTAGCCACAAGTTGCAGAGTAAAGTATAATAGAATACAATTCTTAAAAAAATTGTATAGAAATTGTAAATCAAATAAAAGAAGTTGATTGTGAAGCTTATGTAGTCCGGCTAACACTTGACATTTTAATCATAAGAGAAACCTTTGTGTTTAAATGGATGGTTATAATAATCGTTAAGTGTTGATGTGTATTTGTTTAGTATTTATATTGTGCATAATCAACTGTCTGTTTTAGACTAAAAACTAATTCATTCCATAATGTTTCAATGGAGGAAGAAATACTAAAATAAGGAAACCATAACACCAAAAAAGTGCATGAACTTGAGGTAAGCTGTCAAATATAGCTCATTTTTACACCCATTTCAAATAATACTCCTATTTTTCCAGATTGAAGTCAATTTCATTGTAATGTGTGCTTACATGAAATTTTTTTATGTCTGAATAAAAATTTCCAGTCTAACTCTAATAGCGTTTAATTGAATAGTATGAAAGTCATTTGAAATTTTATTAAACCCAGTAGAAATTTACTGCCATCTACTGAAAAACGTTATTACACCTTATTTACATACATTTTTTGACCTTATTTATTGTACCTCTTAAAAATATTGCTTATTTAAGTTTTTAAAGGAAGTGAATGCTTAACAGTAAAACCTAATTTTCTTACATCGAAAGTTAACAAGATATGCATGAATGAAGATTATCAATGCATACCACACATACTAAGCGGCGGATGACTAATTGCGTGGCCTGTAAGCTTAGAAAAATTTGTGGGACTTTAAGTGATATAACTTTTGAGGACGTTTCCGTTTCTTATGCTCCATTGCCTTTGCTTCAGTTTTGTTACTCATAGTGTAAACATTATAGAATAAATTAAAATTTCGAACGAGATAAAGTTACTACTTTATCAGTTCTATACATAAAGCATTATAATAGTATATCGTACAGTTTCCAACAGGATATATTATTGAAATTTTGATCATTTATCTCATCTAGAATGGCAAAGAGTAAAAACTTTGTTTAAAGAGAACAGGACTTTTAAAAACGCGGGAATGTAAGCTTCAGCCACATAGCCTACTGAGTAATCGAACAACAGCGATATTTTTCTGTTCTTGAAATAAGTTCATAAAGCTACAATCCATTGGTTAAAGACATGTGATGTAATATTATTAAGGTGAACTCATTCTAGGATGTCTGGAAGCATGTCTGTCAAAATGCTTCTTATAGTTTGGGTTTACAGAATTCTTAGTTTACGAAAGCCAACCAATAAAAAATTTAAGACTGTCTAGTATGGTGTATATATGTTAGAGGGGCCATAGCTAGATTACTAACTTCACGAGGAGTGTTAAACCTATCCTTAACCCTTACCCTAACCCTAACCCTAACCCTAACCCTACTCCCTCCTTAATGTAAAGAAAATCAAAATGTGTTAATTGTAAAAATCAAAATGTTGCCGCTGGCGCACTTCACCTTGAGAAAGCGTTGTTTCTAGCGCACCTCACAGTTTGAGAAGGAGTTTACACAAATCTGAGCGCCCCAGCCCTAACTCGCTTACGTAATTCTTGTAAATATGCTAGCATAATTACAGCGAACGTCAAACCCAGGACAACGGCAGAAGACGGCTGGCCGTCGGGGTCTATTATTTAGAAGTAGCGTATAATAGGGTACGTTGTAAAATGAATAGTGAATCCAAAAGAGTACGTATGAAAAGACAAGAGCAAAAATAAAGAAGAGAAAGAGAGAAAAAATTGAATAATATAATAATAAGACAAAGAGAAGAACATCTTAAATTACAAACCAGGCTGCTAATACAAGTAGGTACGATACAATTAGAAGAATAATATTTATATATTATATAGAATTGAGATGGATACTGTTAGAGAGATTCTGCAACTATATAAACAGGGTGTTATAAGTGGAAGAGCTCTAAACTCATTCTTTGAAGCTTTTTAACCACTAGAATCTATATCAAGAAAGTGTACGAATACAGCTCCACCTGAACTTCCTTCGGTACCCTGTAAGCGCAGACCTATTAAGCCTAATAACGTAATAGAAAGTAGACCGCCTGTTATAACAAATTCTGTAGGTAAGGAAGCTACGTATGGAAATATGAGCGACCCAGCGTTAATACGCTATTACGCACTTCAGTTTCTAAGTGCAATTCCTCCAAAAACTAAAACTCAGACGCCTCCGGCGGCCTGTTCACTCCTTTTCCCAAACGTGAAGTGTTCTTATTCAGTTCTAGATAATAAAGGAAAGCCTTCGGAATCATCTAGCGCTTCGTGTAGCAAATCTTCATTTAACAACCGTTGAATATTCGGGTATTATACTTTCTATATTGAGTGTGATAATTACTCTAGCAGTTGCCATCTGTTGAACAACTAATGTTGCATCAGTAGGTAAGTCTACATCTATAAAATCGCTATAGCTACATTCAAAGTTAATATAACCAACACGATGTGTTTTTGTTTCACTTAAGACAAGTAATTTGCTAGGATTTTAAAGTACTCGTAACGTTCCTGCACTTTTAAAATATTTTCCACTTAATGGTATTCGGTAGAATGCAGCGGTTTCGATGGTGATTGTAGAAGAATCTTCTTCAT